CCCTTTCTGTCATCAAACGATACTTTATGAATGTTTTCTACTTGGTCATCTGTGTACAGCAATTAAAACTTGAACCTTTCAAGTTAGCATTATGACTCTCACTCTGGTTAGAATAAAAAATATATTTTTACCCTGAATAAATTCTAAATAACTTAAAAATAACATCATGGCATAAATAGCAATTGTACTTATGAATGTTTAATTGTTGTACAATTTCCTCAGTGGCCCTTGACCACTGACAGAGATGAGCAAAGACCTCTAGTCCATTTGGGCAAACAGATGCTTAGTTTTAAACTAAAGATGTTGTTAAACATTTGTAAATTGAGGAAATCGAATAATTTACTGGTATTTTAAACGCAAACTGTCGACGCTACATTTAAACCAAAAGTGACGTTTTTTTCCATCTCATATTGCTCGTTTTACAGCTGCTGGAGCCCGTGTGCCACCAGTTGTTCGAGTTTGTGCGCAGTGGAGAGGCTCGCCTGCGCCACTTTGCCCTGCAGTTCTTGCCAGCGCTCATCAGCCGATACCTAGCGGGCAGCGCGCCTTATGGCCTCCGTGTGCAAAGCCACGGTTGTGTGGATGCCCTGCTGCTGGGCCTCTATAACCTGGTGAGGAGTCATGCTGTGTCCACGTAGGCTGTACGAACTGCATGTGCATTCATGACAACATGTTCACAAAGCCTACGTGCACACAGCATGTTGTCATGAGTGCACATGCAGTTCACAAAGCCTACGTGCACACAACATGTTGTCATGAGTGCACTTGCAGTTCACAAATATGGCAACAGCTGGCCATTCCCATTTGATGTTTAGTATCACACACACACGTGGTATATTGTGTAATATTTGTGTATCGTGCATCTTGAAATATTTTACTTAATTCATTTTATTATCTGCAACTATTTTTCCCAATATGTGAACACATTCGTAACATTATTTCCTTGTAGTGTAGCGACATTGATCCATGAACAAAAGTATTAAGTCAATGACAGGATACGTTTGTTGCATTCATAAGAGATGAAATGTAATTGTTTTCATTCTGTCTTATTCAGGAGATTATGGAAGCTGATGGAAACAGCAAGGTGCTGGCCTTCACCATTCCCACACTTGCCAAACCTTCTCTTTACCATGAGGTGAGCCTGGTGCAATAAAAAATATATAAATGTATAAAACAGTATTAAACACTGACCAGAGTGGTTTGGTCTTGCTTTCGATCATGCTGCTTGTGTTGATTATGTCTGCCTTTAGCCTGGGAGTTTGGGCTCCATGGCAATGATGGAAGCTGTATTGTCCGGAAGAGAGGCAGTGAGGGTTGCTTATGCTGGTCCCCTGCCACAGAGGGAAGCTTTCACTGCTCAGAACAGGTGAAACACCAGCAGTCACAGTGAAGTTCACTGCATGCATAAATGTGAGCACATACAAAGTCATAAAGCACGTTGCTTTGCAGGCGCTGCATTGGGTTTTTGCAATTTCACTTAATGTTGTGCCGCATTTGTTTCGTCAGGTTTGAGGTTCTGAGTTTCCTGATGCTCTGCTACAATGCAGCCATTGCTCACATGCCTCCGTCTTCCCACCAAGCCCTGTGTCACATGTGTTCTCGGTAATGTATTTCCCTATTCTGGTAGTTTGTACCATTACCATTAGAATTCTAAAATGTTTAATAAACATAATGTGTATATGTAGCCACATTGAATCGACTGTGGGATTGCTTATTTGTTTTACACTTTTCTGTCCAGGGTGTGCGTGAGTGGCTTCCCACGGCAAAAGAAAAGGTGGCGGGAGCACCGTACCAAGATATCACTGTCGCCAGAGTTCATTGTTGATCTCTTAACAGGCGTCTATTATTCTATGTATGTCACACTGCAGTCACATATCACTTTTCGACTGTAATTTTTATATATGCATAAGTTTAATTGAATGCCGCCTGCTCATCGTTTGTATGCAATGCTGAAGAATGTTGTGGGTACACTTGACTTTTGGTTTTGCAGATATAATGGACAATGGGTATTGGGACAGGAGGCCTTGGAGGATGTGCTGTATAGAGCTCAGCTGGAGCTATATACTGAGCCATTGCTGGTGAGCCCTCACTACCAAAATTAGTCACTCACCATTGCAAGGCATTTGCACAATTTGACGATTGTTTTCGTCTTTCACTCGTCTTAAGGTGGGAAATGCAATGCGCAGCTCGCTGAAGAACAGCACGCCTGAAACCATCCATCAGGGACAGCAGTGCATACAGGTGGACGTCACGCCTACCTTCCGTAGGCTGTCTCGTGGCGCAGTAACGAGCGCGTCCATACGCCGTCACCGCTGGCGGAAGGATGGTCAGGAACATTTCATATCACCGTTGTTTACACTCGCGTTCATTAATTTATCAGCTGACCTAGCACTTGCGTGGTATAGTTCACGTCATGGAAAGGCAGTTTTAATCGATTTTGTGTGAAAGAAAAACTGGTCACCTATAGCAAATGCCTTGAATTAGTAATGTTTTTGTGATGCATGGCATGAAACTGCCCATAACATTGGTATTAGGGGTCCTGAATGTATTGTGTGATTGCGTTTTGAGTTGCATGCAAGGAACTGTCCCACCTAATTTTGCATTTAAATTGTCATTGGGTCCTGTGTGTGCAGTGCTGGAAGAGCAATCCACAGAAGACAGTCTGCAGGTTGTAGAGGCTGATGAAGGATTTTCTTCACTAGCGTCAACTTCCAGCCATTCTGCTTCAGCCAGCACAAGCAAATCATTTGCTCAAAAATCCAGCACACGGAAAGTAGAAATAGTGAGTAACTGGGTAGGCCGAGGCGAAAAGGGTAGCAAGGGTAAAATAAAAAATTCACCTCTGGCCTCTCGGCATGATACTAAGCCAGCAATTACAGATTTAGTAGCAGATTCCATTTCACACTTTAAAGGTTTAGGTGAAAAAGATGAACATTTACCCTTGCTAGGACTTGCAGCAGCAGGCCAAACCAGGAAGTGTTTTCCTCCATTGGCAGGCCACGGGTCCTCTCCCCACTCAAAGTCAGATGCCAGTGAGGTAGCTACTGAGACGAGTTACTTACAGCAAGACAGTATATCAGCAACAGCAGATACAGAAACGCAGAGAGTGAACCTGAGTCTCAGCATGTCCACACTGAAGCCAAGGGAGTTTAGTTTGAGTTCTGAATCTGCTGCCATCCATTCATGTGAGCATAATTTAAGTGGCGCCAATGCTTCTGACCCACTGCTGAGAGCCACCGACGACATGCAGGAAGGAAGCAGCGAGATGAACACTGAGAATGTGGGGCTTCTGTCTGCCAGCAGCCTGCAGGATGTGAGTTTGGAACTTGTCGAGTTTTCTCCCAGCCACCAGCTCAACCAACAAGCTCGCTCACCAAGCTTGAATGCTCATCTCATCACTTAAGTTGAATAGTTTAGCTGATGTAATATTATATTGTTTTTATTATATGGAAACTGAGGCAATCCTCTAGCCCATCCATTAATGCTTTGCCACCAACAACATTGTACTCACCTGGTTTGATATACCAGATGGGACATTGAATATAAATATTGTACGTCAGTGTCAGAGTAAATCCATGGTGCATTTGTGTCCAGCCTACTGGATCCTTGACCTCTAAATCTTGTGGTTTAGCCGTGATTAGCAGTAGTGGTTTTGCTGTTCAACTTTAGTTATATTAAGGTGCAGAATGATTCATTTTTTGTTAAGTTATATATATTTCCAATCAGCCTCAACCTCTACCTCTTTGTAATATCATTATAGTTGCTTGTATATTGCCAGATTTTGCCACATGGAAAGCTGAGATAAGTTCACATTGGCTTGGTAAGGTGCCATAGTTAAATTACCTTTATTCCAATTACACTGTCTATTTCGAGTTTTAGTGTGGTAATCGTCATCTGAAGCGGTTATTTGTGGAGATCAGGTACACAAAGTGTAATTTTACCTGTTCTCGTTGTTGGTCTTCCACGTGTAAGCCTTAAGTCAGTTGTGTATATTGATAATGTATTTGGGTATTGTTTCCAATATTTTATTGCTCTGTAACATACAACGTAGAAAAGTGACTCCTTAAACATTCCCAAACCGAAATTATTTTCATAAAAATTCTCACCTTTGTACTGTCATTTTTTCTTTTTTGTGTTTGAAAGTAGAATTTAAATATAACCCAAAGTAAAAGTATTCATTTAACGCAATTACAAGTCGTATTAGCGATTGTGATCATTTTGAATGTGTAAGGAAATTGTCAAGGAGTAATGCAATCCCAGTACTATGTTACAAATGCACTGAATGTAAATGTTTTGATGCACTGTATAGCTATTATCCATTCCTTTATTTTATTGTTTACGGGCAGTGGGTTGTCACACTATAAGCAATGCATAATATACATGCTTTACTGGATTGTATAGGCAAGCAGTTGTGTTTGTGAACAAAGTGTCAACTTTTATTTATTTATTGTGCATTTATTTATCAGTAGCACTTTTGGGTTTTTGATTAGTCAATGTTTATGCTTAACCTAAAAAAATGAATTAACATATTTTGGCATTCAATGTTATACTATCATTTGTTAACGTTGATATATACAAGATAATTATTTAGACTGCACCGTCTAGAGGTTGGTATTGATCAGTTGTTAAAATTATTTGTGCAAGAAAACTATATTGTCATGTTAAATTAGTGAAACCCCTTCATTTGATTTCACCAATCTCTTTCGCAATAAGAGTATAAATGTAACAAATTAAAAAAATAATTTTAAAGAACTACACTACTGTGTTTGAGAGCTGATATTTAGGCTTGTATGTATATTCTGTAACTATCTCTGATCCATCTGTTGAAAATTAAAGCTTTTTGTGAAAGTAGAATATTTAAACTTGCATAATTGGTTACTTGTGAAAAAAATGCCTTCCTGGCTTCATGTCAAAAGATATACAGAAGTGCAATTTGAATCTAGACTGAGACAGTGGTAATGCAATGCAAGCGTGAAAATAATGCACAATACACGATGAAATTAAGCTATAATTTTATTTCACAATTATGGAGAACTGCTGACAGTTTTGTTATATTTCAGTACAGTACAATGCTCAATGTTATCTGTGTGCATGAGTTGCCGGTGATGAGTTAGTGATGTCCTCCCTTGTTGGGTGGAAAAACGGTGTACTCGACGGCCAGGGCCACCGCAAATGCTGCAAAGCCATACTTGAAGCCCTTGAAGACAACTTTCCAAAATGTAGGTGGGTTGGCAAACGACCCACTGTATCGCCATGCTTCATTGCTGCAAAGAGAATACAGAGCACGTCATTGACATGTCGGAGTGTGAGCTGTGTGTACACTACTTGCCAAAGATATATTGCTTTACAAATTAGACTGATGTAGTACATACTCTTTGTTTTTTTTCGGTAAAGTCACGTAGGTAAAATAAAATAAAAAAACAAATCACGATGCTTGAGGCAACACAAGCTTCGCTGCAGCGATCTTGCTGGTGGAACACCTGAAGACGGAAGCTTGTGTTGCCTCTGAAACGTCGTGATTTAATAGTTTTCTTTATTTTATTTTACCTACGTGACTTTACCGAAAAAAAAACAGTGAATCCTTGCAGTCACGAACGCTTCAAATCTAGAATAAATGATGTAGTACAGTTACATTTGAAATGGTTTCAAATATAACTTTGGGAGAATCCAGAACATCAATGTTCTTACTAAGATGAGAAAGTAGAAGCCTTTAGCCAGCAGTAAATAAACGGCTGTTTTTGAACAGTTTACGCCAAAAGTGCAGTAAAATAACATCAAAGGCTAAGATTGGCAGATCCCAAAGACTTTAGTTGCGATTGAGCATCACTTAACCCAACAAGGCCTTTCGAGACTCATTCTCTCAGCTCCCTTTCTGAAATTTGTCAAAAGTTCCTCTTGCCATTTTTGTTAAAGGAGAAACCCCAACTGGGAATTACACTCGTGGGTTTGCTTAACTGAGCTGGAAGTGCATTATGATTGCATGTCATGCATGTAATGCACTCAATGTCAACACATTACAAAATAGACTTGGGTATGAATCGTGTCTTGGTATAATTTTTGTCTGCCATTTGCATTTTACCCGAGGGAAAATTCACTTAACTGTACTTAAAGGTTTTTAAACCGGATAAATTGGCTGGTATACGGTACAACGCTAGAAGTCAAACGTCAAATGAATATTTTAAAACACTAGTTTTACACTGAATAACTTGCACCTGGCGCCAAATATGCCATCGGCTCATTCGACGTCGCAACACATGGAAGATATCACGCTTTTGTTTAGTGTATTACTGTACATAGAATCTATATATAGACCTTAATCTGAATGTCCTAAAAACATCCGGGGTACTTCCTGACAAGGTATAAGGAGGCTGAAATTTGGCCCCCAAATCTCGATTAAAGTGTCCCATGAAAATGTTTGTCATTCAGAAACCGTTTAAAATATAAGTGCGCTTTTTTTTCTTTGATAGAGCGTTGAACAGCAAATAAAATTAATACTCTAATACGACGTTTCGATCGCTACAAAAGCAATCGTCTTCAGGTGGGAGAAGACGATTGCTTGTGTGGCGATCGAAACGTCGTGATCTATTAATTTGTTCTACCTACGAGAACCATTGCTCTATATTTTAGTCTTTTAAGATATTTCGGATTAAAGCGGGTTTTTAACTAAACAATACACATTTTCTGATGTTCACATCTCAATAATTAAAAAGCGGTCTAAGATAGGAGCTTCCCCACTTAGGGTTAAGTTAATTAATTTGTGTCTAATAAAAAAACGGAATCTTTAAATCGAAGGGTTTCCGAAATAAAAGTTGAATCAAGTCAATTTGTTTTTTTTTCGTGGAAAAATAAAAATTTGTGGAGTGTTGGTGTCTGATCGTAGATAAAACAGTAAAACAAATCATATCAGGTTCATTATATTTCTTTAAAACTTTTGCCTGGCGAAGACAGGCTTTAAGAACTAGTATAATTTAATCTTGATATAGAAATGAAAGTCTGTTCCGAATAGAAATCCTACAACGTTAAAGCTATCGCCACCAAGCTTTGGCAGGGTTACCTTTTAAACCCCCGCAGAAAACCTTGGGTACATGGCGAGCCAACAGTTAATATAGGGGGGCCCGGAGCCCCCCAAACGGCACCCCACACGCTCCCAGGGACGTCACCATCCCTAACCCCGCACATCTTAACAGTTACACAATTACCCCTAATCAAGTTAATCTAACAATTGCCCCAAAACCCGTTGGTGATTTAAATGAATGGTCAAACTCCGTGAGCACGCACGTCGTCTTTCCGTGCGAGACAAATGGCATCATTCGCGCTTTAAAAAAAGCTTCGCTATATATCGTAACCCCATTGTGGCACGTTACAGGCCCCCCCCATGGCACGGCTAAATCTAGTATGCCTTTAACCAATACAACTCAAAGGTTAGTATGCCTTTAACCAATGCCTGAAGGTCGTAAGAGGGGGAATCCGGTAATTCCCCTGACGTGTTGAAATTCACACGCTTCAACCCACGCTTTTCATGACCGCTTTCTGTCTGGACAGTGAATAATTATCCCCTTTAGTCAGCGAGAATTTCCACTTTCCTGTATGGGGGAAGTTCTATCGCAGGATTGCTGCGCTGCATAATTCATTATTTTGTGATGAGATAATTGTACTCTTCGAACAGTGTTGACATGAACGTGCCGTCCCGAGACTTCACGATTGATCATGATTCACCGCACACAACCACCATCCCGTGACTACCGTGACTCAAACGCCGCCGGCGGAAACACGACGACTGTCAACACCAGTCTTAGCGACTGGCCATTGGGGCCTAACACAGGTGCTTACCCTCCTCCTACCATAAACATCAAAGTCGTTTCGATGTGACCACATCGGCTACCACGAGCCTGGTTACACAATCCACCACTATCTGCAGCCGACACCGCAAGCAACACTAAGGGACTTTATGAGGGCCGTATCAACAACCACCATACGAGCTTCCCTCAGCGACCTGACATGCATCCCGAACGGTACTAACCCCCCTAAGCTCCCCCTAAATGACCGCTTCAAACCTTCCCACGCCTTTGGGCAAGGGGGCGCCCCGGGTGCTTAGGAATTCAACAGTCGCGTGACCGCGGGGTTCTTCCCTTGGTTCCGAGTGTCTTTCACTGCTCGCCGTGGGGGTCCCCGTGTGTCCCGTGGTCCCGTGTGTCCCGTGGTCCCGTGTGTCCCGTGGATCCCCGTTGGGCAGTGGAGGGGGGTCGGGGGGTGTTGGTCTCTAACCGGATCCAAGGGTCCCGCAGGCCGCGCTTCGCCAGCCGCCGCTGCACGACCTCCAGCGGCGTCCCCTCCACCTTCCACGTCTTCCAGTCCGGCATATCCACGCCGGGCACGTTCCCGCGGACCCCGTGGGCCCCGTGGGCCCCATGGGCCCCGTGGGCCGTCTCGTGTCCGTGAGCCATGGGCGTCTCAGACAAGAGAATGAAGCCGGTGCGGAGGACGAGGTCACGCCGAGGCCTTCCCCCTTGGTTGCGATGCTGGTGGTGGTGGTGCTCGCGATGTCGCTATGCGGACGCAGTGCAGGATTCGTCGCCCGCCTCATTCGCCACTTCATTGCAGCCATTGCGGACGCAGTGCAGGATTCGTCGAACGCCTCATTCGCCACTTCATTGCAGCCATGAGGACGCAGTGCAGGATTCGTCGAACGCCTCATTCGCCACTTCATTGCAGCCACGCGGACGCAGTGCAGGATTCGTCGCCCGCCTCATTCGCCACTCATTGCAGCGCTGTCACGCAGCAACAAGGGGAGCGATGGGCGCTTCACACTCTCCGCGGTTCGTCTGAAAGCAGATTCTCCTGCGGAGGGAGGAGCTGGTAGGAACGTTGGGTTGCTCGGTCAATGGCCAGGGTCAACGGCGGCACCACGTGGTGTATTCCGCACAATATGTCCGACTGTGAGGGCGGGCACAAGCCGGCGTGAGTAGGTTAAACGTTGAGTTTTATAAGGGCACCACGGGGTGACCAGCCCCTCCCCACCCTCCCCTCTCCACCCAGCCCCACCCCTCCCATTTTTGGATGCACGACGGACGGACACAATAATCCCCTGTGTGCTGCTGGTGTCACCAGGAGGTTCCTACCAGTATAACCTTGTGTGTGTGTGTGTGCGCGTCAACGCGGTGTGTGGGAGGCGTGAAGGAAGCTGCTTCTGCTGCTGTGCGGTTGGAGGCAGTCACCCGCCAGCAACAACGGAGGGCGGATGAGCGGCGGCGCTCACAACAACGAGCGGAGCGCCGGGCGGATACAATGCAGCAGAGTTGGCACGGTGGTTGTGGCACCTCCCGGTTGTCTCGGTCAGATAACAGATGGCACCTGCTGGGTCTGTCCCGAGACCTCCTGCCAAGCGAGACTTCGACACTTCACGTGATAGCCTCAAAAGTGTACCTGGCCTGGCACGGGCGCCAGGGCGGACGTCACCGTCACTTGGTAATATACATAACACGTGTTACATAACACGTGTTATGTATATATCGTTCATTGTAAAATTCCAATCAGTTCCCGTGATCACTGTTTACATTGTTTTTATAACTTTATTTTGGTGATTTTTAAAACGTTTTGGTTTAGCCATATATGTTTGTTGTAGTACAGGGTTAGCCTGATAACGTTAATCTAAATTGTGCTATGGACAGTCCTGTTTCTTCACCTGAGGACGGCTACTTGTGTTGTGGCCGAAACGTCGTGAGAATTTTATTATTGTATTCTCATTCTACGTGACTTTACCGAAAGAACCAAAGAAGATGTGCTATGGTTATTGTTTGACTTGCATCCCACTGGGATTTTTGCACACAGCGTTGATACTCGGTGCTTTTTCTGGAAGACTTGCTGTTTTTTTCCCTGGATTCTTTTCTGTTTGCGCGTAGTCACTTTAAGATGTTTTTTCTTGTTCATGTTTTTTGTTTGTTGCGGTCGCACCCGATTCAAGAGCCGAATGGCTCACTCACAGGGCTATACCAAAATAAATGAAACTGAAACTGGTGGCGAATGGCTCGGGGGGAGGGGGGGGGTATTTGGTATTGGTGAGCACCACCTGGAGGTGGGGGACTTCCCTTCCACTCCTAGCGGCGGTGGAGCGGTTAGCGCTGCTCTGCGTTACTGCGAACCTGGAGACCCGAGTTGGAGTCCCGCTCACGGCCAACATCGGTGACGATCACTGTTACATTGCATTTATGGCTTTATTTTGGTGTTTTCGAAAAGTGTTTTGGTTTGGCCATGTTTGTTTGTTGCAGTACGGAGTTAGACTGATGGCCTTAATCTAAGTTAGTCTTGTGGTTGTTGTTGTTTGACTTGCATCCCACTGGGATTTTTGCACACAGCGTTGGTGGTGTAACGGTGCTTTTTCATGAATATTTTGCTGTTTTTTTTCCTGGATTTTCTGTTTGCACAGTCACATAGTCATATTTATGATGTTTGCTTGTTCATGTTTTTTGTTTGTTGCGGTTGCACCCGATTCAAGAGCCGAATGGCTCACAGGGCTATACAAAATAAATGAAAACTGAAACTGATTATCTGAACCGGTCCTGGGCCTCCCCTAGGTCGACTCAGCCTCAAATGAGTGTGCGGTGCGTAAAAAAATATCGCCACTGAGGAAACAAAGGCGGCCGGGCGTGTTGCTGGCCACCCATCCCCTCGTGTGCCGTTCTGGCCGTCATAGGTGCTCGCTAACAACACTGGCCCCAACAGTCTGTTAAGGCTACACAGGGGATCTTTGTTTCATTGGTAATTGCAGGCCAGGGGTCGGCAACCGGCGGCTCTTGAAGTAGTGTTGTTTTTTCCGAATTCGAAAAAAATGGCTCTTGTTATTTTGGTTGCCGATCCCTGAACTGTGGAAATCCAGTTCACCATGGAATCCAGTTTACCATGGAGTATTTTACCGTGGAGTCCAGTTCACCATGGGAGTCCAGTTCACCATGGGAGTCCAATTTACCATGGAGTCCAGTTTACCATGGAGTCCAGTTCACCATGGGAGTCCAATTTACCATGGAGTCCAGTTTACCATGGAGTCCATTTTACCATGGAGTCCAGTTCACCATGGGAGTCAGGTTTACCATGGAGTCCATTTCACCATGGAGTCCAGTTCACCATGGGAGTTCAGATTACCATGGAGTCCAGTTATTCATGGGAATCCAGTTCACCATGGGAGTCCAGTTCACCATGGGAGTCCGGTTTACCATGGAGTCCAGTTTACTATAGGCAGGGGTCGGCGACCTGCGGCTCATTAAGGATTATTTCGTGACGTTATTAAGGACCGTCTCGCATCCACATTGTATTGCGGCTCTTTAAAAATATATATCGATTTTTTTTACCGAATTAGGAAAAAATGACTTGTTATTGTGGTTGCCGACCCTGGGGTGTAGGCAGTGACATCACACGCACCAGATGTACGAGTACAAAGCTATGTGTTTTCAGCGTTCTGCAGTGTGTGGAGTTAGAGAGACCCAGAGGGTTGATAATGTGGAAGAACGACCCTTTTGTTTATATTTTCAGAGAAGTGAGATCGAGAGACCATGTATTTATGAAAAAAAAAGTTTCTTAAATACACTTTCTATTCTGGGAATTATGGTAGGTGTTTTTTTGCAGGGATTTCCCCCCCCCCCCGGCTTTCATAATCAGTGGTACCTGAATTGTCCTTTCATGCCCCCCATGTATGGGAGAGCTTCATCCAGCAGTGGATTTGCAAAAGACTGTACGTTGATGTAGAAAGGGTGGTTGCAGCAATCACGAGTTTGGTTCAATCACGAGTTTTGTTCATTCTCTTTGCTATGCAAACAGCAGTTTGAACAACGTAACGTGTCGTTTCGTTTCCCCAATGTTACTGCTGCCGCAGCCACAACTCAGTTTGTCGACACCAGGGTATTGCATATCAGGAATCGCATCCTTTACAGATGGGATAAAATCACGGATTTCGTGTACTGTGTTTAAACGAATCTGGATCTTGTGTTTAATATTTTGGAAATCTTTTTGGTAACCCCTGCTATGTATGGCAAAGTGATGGTATTGGTTGGATCCTCAGATGGTTGTCTCACCATGGCTGGGAAGACAGAATTGCGGATTGTACGGGGAAACGAAACGACATGTCTCGGCAGATCTGAAACACAGTAGGACCAATACCTCTGCCGTTGCTGATCATTGTTTTAACGCAGTGGGCTCACACGAAATTGACTTTTCCAAGACGAAGGTACTCTGCAAACCCACCGGCTATTATCAGAGATTTGTTCATGAAGCCATCCAGATATATAAACACAACTTCAACCGAGAGGATGGGTACAAACTGAGGAATCATTGGAAGGACGTTATTAACCAGGTAAAGTCTTAACTGACTGTGATGTTTCCATCCTACCTGCCTATGTCAGCTGTTATTTCCGACTCTCTGTGTGTCTTTCTCTCTCTCTCTCTGTGCATCTCTCTCCGATCTCTACTCCAGTGACTCGGGTGCTGCTGCGGGGTCCACTTTCTGCCCCCCCCCCTTCTCTCTCCCCTCCTTTAGCCGATCTCTCCAGTGCTGCCGCGGGGTCCACTTCACTCCAAGGCCGTAGCCATGGAGTCAACATTGGGGGAGACCAAATCTTCCGGGGGGTCTGGGGTCCCCCCCCTAGAAAAAAAATCTAAATTTGAAAACGAATTTCCTGCCTAAAATATTAAAACATTCACTAACACATAGGATGGACTTTTTATTTATTTTTGACAATAATGTCTAATAGTGTATTATTGTATTACATTGCTCTGTTTTTTTTCTTTTTTACCTTTTCTTGTTTCATTGTATGTAATGGCAGAGATTAGGGATTAATAAAGTACAACCATAACCACAATCATATAAACAAATCTATTTTACCGCAATATATTGGGAGGGACAATTTGAGCATATTTCATTTGAATATTTGGGGGAGATGTGTCCCCCCCCCCCAATATTATAATTACGGCCTTGATTTACTCCAGGGACCCGGGTGCTACTACTGGGTCCACTTTCTGCCTTGCCTCCTCCCCCTTTCTCTTCCCACCCACCCCCCTTGCAGCCGATCTCTCCATGTGCAGAGGGTGCTTCAAAATAGTTTTAACACTTATATGTGACTATGGTTCTTAATGGGAAAAGAACGGGTAATATACGGTAACATGATAACACATCTATGTTAATAGCTTCAAAAAGTAAAAGTCTCCAGTTTTGTTCGCCATCATTATAAACACGTGCCTGGAATCTTATGCAGGTGGTCTCCAAAGCCCGGAGGCAGCACATCTCCTGTGGCACTGTTGCAAATTCTCAGCAGTGTTAAAACAAAACAAAAATGTAAGCACCCTGTACAGCGCCGTACAATGGATGAGTTTTGAATTGAAAAAAAAAACGTTGTTCAGGACTATTACCTATTCTAGATTTGAAGCTTTCGTGACTGCAAGGATCCATACTCTTTGCTTCTATTCGGTAAAGTCACGTAGGTCAAAAACAAAACAACAAAAAATCACGACGTTTCGGCCACAACACAAGTGGCCTTCATCAGGTGAAGGGACCAAACTGTCCAGTGGACAGCGTTGGAGTGAAGAAAGCCAAGCGCAGGTCGGCCTCCTTTAAGCTGTGAGGGGGTAAACAGAAAACGCCTTGACAAAGGAATTAGCATAAAATGCACTACTGTGAAAGCTTGCAATTAGCATAAAATGACATTACACCACCGTGAGAGTTTGGTAATGCCACTACTTAAATAAATATACCGTACCATTGAAAATTAGTAGTTTAATGTTTGGTTCGAAACGTCGTGATTTTTTGTTTTATTTTTTACCTACGTGACTTTACCGAATAGAACCAAAGAATACTATTTCCTATCTTTCGCAGCATCGAATCGTTTTTATTTCCAGCCGTGAACGGCGTGTCCGTGCTGACAAAAGCGACGTCGCCACGATTTTGCCACGCGAGACTAAAAAAATAAACAAAAAAAGGAGCACATATATTTACACAATGCCCAAAATAAAATGTCGAGTAATTAATATTCTTGGTTCTTTCTGCATTAGTCACGTAGATAGACAGTGGAGAGTAATTGTGAAGCATACAATGTTATATTACGTGCTGCAGAACGACACCTTACCGATATTAACTATGTTACCCTATTTGTATTTTTTATTTTAAAATTATATCTTAAAGCTATTTTATATTCGATATTTATTTAATTTTATATACTTCAGCCCCTTGGTGTTAGACTTGTAACCCTTATTATAGTAAGACTTGTTTAAAACTTATTTAAGATTTTAGATTCCTATATGTTGAATGTATGCACCATCCTGCCAAAGTAAATTCCGTGTCGGTGTGAACTTACATGGCGAATAAAACCCTTTCTGATTCTCTTAAGTGTGGTCTATTGACTGCCAGTGGTTCGAGGTGGTCTGCGGGGCTGAGATGCAATTGCAGGTTGATCCATCCGCACATAATGGAAATGTTTATGGCTGTTCTTTCGGACATTATTTAATGTTTTACTGACGATATTTAATGTAAAAAAAAATGTTAAGTTTGGTAAAGTACCATGATTATACTCCCCTAAGATATAAATGCCCCCTAGCCCCCCCCCCCCACCCACTCACCCCAGGAAAAAAAAAACCCTTATAGCTGGGTTAAAACAAAAATAAATTCAAGGAATATGAATAATAATAATAATCATATAATCGTGGTATTGAGAAAGATTCGTGAATGAGATTTCATCACCAGCGTGGGTGGGGGTGGCTTTGGCCCGCGGGAATATTTGCTTCGTCTTGATTGAATCCGCGGGCCTCACTCTACAAAAAGTTTTGAGAAACCCATGGGAATCTTTCCAGGGGGGGGGGGGGACCCCCTTCGGAAAGATCCCACGACACGTCCTCATGCCCGTGTGCGTACAGACAAAAACAAAATAACGCGGTCTTAACCGTACGTCACATTATTCTTGGTTCTTTCGGTAAAGTCACGTAGATAGGGAAATAAAAAAGTAAAAAAATATAAAACATAATAAAATAAAAAAAGAACCGAGAAGGTGAACCAAGAAGATGAATCCCCATGCACAGTCGCGAAAGCTTTAAATCCAAATGTTACGTCAAAACAAACAAGGCACAGGCTTTTGATTTAAAGCTTTCGTGGCTGCAGTAATTCATATTCTTAGTTTTTTCGGTAAAGTCACGTTGAAGAGAAACAACAAATAATATAATATATATAAAAATTCTCACGACGTTTCGACCATAACTCAAACGAATATGACCGTTTGAGTTATGGTCGAAACGTCGTGAGAATTTGTATTTTTTAATATATATTATATTATTTGTTGTTTCTCTTCAACGTGACTTTACCGAAAAAACTAAGATTAAGGCACAGGCTTCCTGAGAAACGCCTCGCGTGACGTCATCCAGAGGGGGATCTCCCTTCCACTCCCTCAACTCAGCCTGCTACGCAACTGAAGCAGTTTCGGTGTCGAAGCCGGCAATTCCTGTAAGGTTCGTATCGCTTAATCGTTATCGTTATTATCATTATGAACGTTCGGTTGTCATTCATCCGTGGTCTTCCACGAAATAATTGTCGCCCCACGGGATAACCGTCACCCTTTAAATTTGAATTCCACTTTGTTCCGCGTCTGTCTCGTCGGGCGAGGCCGCGATCGTGGGGGGTGAGGTGCAGAGCTGCGCTACGTTAACTTTGACGTTTAACTTTTACCAACAGGTCCTTCCTTCTCAAGGCCGCCGCATCATCGACCTCGTGTGACTTGGGGAAGATCTCAAACGAGGTGTCCGAAAATGCGTATCGCGCGTAAAATGTAGCTTTTGTTCGCGCTCACTTTGTCGCGTTTGCCTCCATTCGTTGTCGGCCTAGTCGAGGCTTTAGGTCATAGACGCCGTACTCGATGTCTAACGTCAATTCTGTGGTTCGCATCGAGAGCGATTTGCAGTCAAGATCCAGCTTCAGGCAACATAGGACATCTCAGACGTATTGACAACTTCGAACGCCTCACGTTCGGAATTCGCCTCGAATTTAACATCATCGCCACGCTTCAGGACATCAGGAGAAGACTTCGGAGTTCGGTGACGTGAAGCTGCCTGCCACTGACGAACAACACGCATTGGGGTTCTCTTAAGCGCACGAATATGGCTTCTTTAACGATGTCTCATAGGTTGGAACTCCAAAGATTATCCGAACAGTTGAGCGAAGAAGAGGTGAGCAGCCTGCGATTCCTGTGTCGGGATGAGTTGCCCACCTGGGCCTCCCTGCCCACAGCCGAGCTGCTGATGGCCCTCTTCCAGATGGGGGGCATCGGCCAGCTGACGGCCAAGCTCAGCGCCTTGCACCGCCACGATCTGCTGCGCCGATTGGGCATCCACAACGCCCAGATGGCAGGAGGAGCTAACAATGTTGATTATGGGACGGTGGCGACAAGTCGAACCGGCTCCAGCTACAGGTGAGGGGGAGATCCTTTAGTGGTTTGCCGTGCCCTCGTCACCCTTGCTCACTCGTGTGCTCTTGGACATCGTTGATGTTACCGCCAGAGCTGGATGTCCGGGTACGTCTTGGGTCCTGACCACCTTGGGGGGGGATGATTTTACATTTAAAGTGTCTCCGATCTCAAGCAGTGGTTGGTGGTAATCTCCTATTGTGGACCCGGACAAGAATGGGACATGTTCCCATGTTTGATTCGTCTTTTCGATGGACACTTCAATCTCAGAGTGGTACTCTGTGAGTGAAATATCTTGAGATGACGGCATCGTCAATGTGTATTTGGAATGTGTACAGTGGTGAGCTATTTTTTGCAATTAAATATTGACATCAAGAAACTGACCAATATATAAGTCCGTCCCCATAACCCCTTCTCACTCTCTTGACCGCTCTGGTGGTGTCTAAAGTTCGCTTGGGTCCTCGGTGTACTCAGTCCGAAAATTATGCTACCGGCATTAAGTTAATATGCTCTATTAAATTTGGTCCTCGCTTTTTGGGTACCATGACTCTATAAATATTTTTCCTAAACGTTGTTGGTGTGCCATTTATGACTTTTATTCAGGATCTGTCAAAATCGCGTCCCACCTCAAATTATGAATATTTCTCGTAAAGTAGGCTTTCCATCCAATGTTGACCATTCTTGGTATTTCACAAGTGGATCCTGCTTTATTTAAAATTTCCATATTAATTCCAATGTGTGAATTGAGATCTTTATGGTTTATAAACGGCTGTTTATAAACGTCTGTTTATAAGCATGCTTGGAATTGCACTGAGTGATAAAAAAAGCACACAGATCAGGAAACAAACACGCAATCACAAATATTGACAAAAAAGGTACATATCCTTGGGTTGAACACAACGCGAGATGGAACTGTAGCAGGTGAACGAGACTGATGCTGGAATGATAGCCAAATGAGAATGACCATCCTGAGGCTGGGGCAATGAGATCCAGTACATGTGCAGGAGTGAGATGGATGGTAGCATTGGATTGTCCGAATTGGTGACAGGATGCTGAGGTTTTAATTTCATCAATGAATGAACATGATTCACAGTTTGTTGCCTATATACTGTTGGTACTTAAAGAACAACTCATGGATGGCTGGAATCAACAAGAGTAGCCATGCTCATAGTGTGGATTATTCAAATATAGATATTTTTTCTCGTGTGGGTGTTAATTTAAATTAGTGATGAAAGTGATGATTCATCATGCAATTGTTTTATAATCTCAGAGTTAAATTCCTTGCAATGCTTCCACCAACAGTTTCCACTAAGTTTGACGGTAGTGTTTTTTTTTATCCTGCAGGGAATTTTTGGTTGAACTGAATGAAGGCATCTCAAATGATGAACTGTCAAGCATGAAGTACTGCCTACAAGATGACCTTCCTCAAAATAGGCTAAATAATGTCAATGTATGTATCACAATTACACAATGGTATTGTTCCCAATTTTCAAAAAATATACTCTGGAGATAGTCCATATTGGTCAACACATCTGTAACAAACTGTATTTGTTTACGAATCAAAACGCACTTGCAGTAGATTGACAAGAGTGTGATGAATGTCTGCAATTATTTCATTAATCCACATGTCTGTGTTGCATTACAGAGTCTATTGGAACTGTGCCATTTACTGGAGGAACAAGGCCAGCTTTCATCAGACAACCTATCGATGCTTGAGCAATGCTTTGAGATTGCTGAAAGGCATGATTTGAAAAAAAAATTAAACCGATTCAAACTGAAAAGCCCAGCGGGTACAGTTTTAAGACTACGACATAACATTGTAATCTCTGATACTGGCCAATTATCTTAATGATATACCAACTTGAATGTCTTGAATTTCAGTGAGGCTTTTATGGATAAATAAGTAAACATTTGAATTTTATTCTAAATGCTGTAAAATGTCACGTATCGAAAATCTAAAGGCCCAACATTCAATGTTAAATTGCTTCGTCAAGAATGTTTTGTCCATTCGAAAATATGAGCCAAGTATCGCACGCTCTTGCTCATGTCATTCATTAGCCTCTCCACTAGGGACAACTCCCAATGCTCACTGCATATTTTTGTACTTTGATGTATCGTCTAAGGATCAGAAAGAGCAGCGGATCCTGCTACATATTTGAGAATGCCATCTGCAGAGAGGGTGTATGTGAATGCACATCCTGCTTCACTGCCTGACCAATTGATGCATCGTGGTGCCCACAACAGACAGATTGGTGGAAGAGGAGTCCAAATGGTAAACAACATTTACAGTTTTTCAATGTAGTGTTCCCAGCTTTAGTAATATAGGCATGTGATGTTTGCATGTGCTGAGTCCGTCTTGCTAAATGTTAACATCCAATTGAAAAATATGCTTCTAACATTGATTGGATAGAATTACATTCTATTATTCATTGCTATTGATTTATATTGTACACGGTTCTTCATGTGTACATTTTGTGTATTGGACTATAATTACGCAATGAGTATATACAAAACTGTATGATTGCAGCAATTGAATAGTTGGGAAATATTAAAATACCAGCATAATATGTATTTTCTTATGTAGTGGTTGATAAATGAATGTTGAAAATATTTGAGGTATTATTAGACTTTTAAATGGTATCATGCTAATATATTCAATTGTGGCCTTTTTTCTAGGTTGAGAAACCGTATAATTCAGGATGTTCATCTGTACGTGGAATTGCTGGCCCACTAATGTCACAATATCCCAATGCATACCCCCATACCCCAATGCGCCAACGTAAGTTGAATGTTATGGTCGGCAGGAATTTACACATGACAACAGCTGATTGGAGACAATGTGACATCACAATTGTTATTATGTTTTTTTATTGTTATTATTTCTGCAATTGCACTCTTTAAACACGATTTAGCATTTTATTGCCACTGATTTCAGTACTAAAGTCGTGTGATTGTGTTTTCATTGTCCTTTGTGTCTCCAAAAGAAATACCTGTACGTTCATCAGTGGTACAAGCTTCAAGAGACAGGCCAAACGCTCCAAGCTCATCAATTGTAAATATGCATTTTTCATCATCACCAACAGTCGATTCACTGCTCAATAAAGGCTTTCACACATTCACCATATCTCACAATCCTGCAGTGAAAATAGTTAATCTCGCTGCAGTGGCGAGATGTGAATTACCTCGCCTGGTATACATGAGGCCATAGGTTTGATCCCGAACCTGACGCCTGTATCTTTGGAGTTTACATGTTCTCCCCCAGGTCATATGGATTTTTTTCTTCAGGTCCTTGGGTTTCTCCCTCCACATTTAGAAACACGCCTTTAGAGTATTTTGCTATAAATTTCCACTGATAAGCCACTTTGTTGAGCTATCATTTGTGGCCATGTCGCTTCTGGAAAAGAGCTATATAGCTCAGTGAGCCTTGCTTGGTAAAATGAAAAATAGTTTAGTTTCAAAAGTTTAGTTTCATCTATTGCATGGACACAGGCTGCTTTCATCGCCCCGTATCCTCTGTTGTCGTCCTCTTGGACATGTTCCCTCCCTTGGCTGCCACTACGTCATTATTCTTGATCATCAGCCATCCCTGGTGTCATGTTGCAATGGTAAGCACACTGGACCTGCAATTCAGATGGCTCTGTTTTGATCTCCTGGGTGCGGCAGTTAAAAAAAAATAGGCAAGTGTTTTAAACCCCGAGGCCCCTCATGATTATAAATGGGTACATAGCCGATCGGCAGGTTGCATGTAGGGGGGTAAGGTGTGGATACTCTCACCGCTTCCAAGATGTCTGGTCAGCATGGAAGAGTAGGCTAAATACCCTCTAGAGGGGCTTTCTAGAACTTCCTTTAGTGGAGGCCCTTCTGCTAGCAGTGGCATGAGCAAGCAATTGCAGGATGTAAAACTTCATCTTTATTATTGTACTCGCCTTGCTTATTTTTCTATAGCTGGAGACGGATTGCTACCCGATGGCTCAACCTCTTGGGCTGTGCCTGCTGGTGGTAAACATACAAGGACTTCGGAATACAGATGCCTTGTATAAAGATGCAGGTGAGGTTGTGTGGGACATTTGTGGTTTTATTTTTAATTACTACGGAATGAATCTTGATTTGACGCTTTCGTGACTGCAGGAATCCATACTCTTTGGTTCTTTCGGTAAAGCCACGTAGGTAGAAAATAAAATAAATCGTGACATTTCGATCGCAACACAAGCGACCGTCATCAGGTGGAACAGATACAGCGGGAGAACTGCTGACATAGGAGAAAGAGCTGCTGCAACAAGAGTTTATATAGGATTTTGGTGGGCTCAACCCAGGGGTAAGTGAGCGGAGCTAGAGAAGGAATTTGTATGTAAATGTGAGAGATATGCATGTTAATGTGAGACGGTCCCAGCCACCGGAGGTGGTGGGGATCCTCCTGTGGCTGGGCCACCTTACAGATATTTAAACTGGTGATGTACTCAGAGAGTCGGAAATAACAGCTGACATAGGCAGGTAGGATGGAAACATCACAGTCAGTTAAAACCTACCGGCTACCTTCAGAGATTTGTCCATGAAGCCATCCAGATATTTGAACACAGATACAACTTCAACCGAGAGGATGGGTACAAACTGAGCAATCATTGGAAGGACGTTATTAACCAAGTAAAGTTTTAACTGACTGTGATGTTTCCATCCTACCTGCCTATGTCAGCTGTTATTTCCCACTCTCTGAGTACATCACCAGGTTAAATATCTGCAAGGTGGCCCAGCCACAGGAGGATCTCCCGTCACCTCCGGTGGCTGGGACCGTCTCACATAGACATGCAAATATATCTCACATTGACATGCTAATCTCTCTCACATTGACATGCTAATATCTCTCACATTGACATGCTAATCTCTTTCACATTTGCATGCTAATCTCTCACATTTACATTTATGTACAAATTCCTTCTCTAGATCCGCCCACTTACCATTGGGTTGAGCCCACCAAAATCCGATGTAAACTCTTGTTGCAGCAGCTCTTTCTCCTATGTCAGCAGTTCTCCTGTTGTATCTGTTCCACCTGATGATGGACGCTTGTGTTGCGATCGAAACGTCGTGATTTATTTTATTTTAAACCTACGTGACTTTACCGAAAGAACCAAAGAGTATACTACAGAATTATCTTGCTTACTGAATCTCAGGGCTCTATTTTAGGAGGATTATTTGTTGCTTATTATGGTTGATTAAAATTATTTTGTACAAGTCATTGTGATCCTCTTAATGTGTGTATGTTATAGCACTAGCTTATGGATGTGCACTAATATGCTCAGGTTCGTCATAAAACCTTCACAATTTGATGTTTATTCTGAGTGCATGTGTTGTTTTGCAGACAATATAAGGACGGCGTTCTCAAACCTCGGCTTTGAAATTATGATTTTTCATGACCTGTCAAGCATGGATTTGCGAAATCTCCAGAGCTTCTGTCCCTTTAAAAAGATGCACAGCTGCTTCGTTTGCTTCGTGCTCGGGAAGGGCACAGATTCTGACATAAATGGCACCGATGGAATTCCTGTTTCAATTGAAGTATGTATTACAATGGGCACCAACAATTTAAATGATTTTGCTGCCACGTTATGAGACACAATGTAATTATTGCACTTTATGCATGGGTCTATTGGCTATACGAACCAACGACATATTTGGCTTCTTATTGACATGATAAATGTGTAACCACAAATGCACACCTGTTACTTTTTTTTTCTAGATGCTGTCAATGAATTTCAATGGACAGCATTGCCCAGCCCTTGTGGGTAAACCCAAGTTGTTCTTCATACTGACGGTGATGGTGGCTGGAACATTGTATGGCCAAAGTTTGCAAGTTGACTCATCAGGGGGTGCTCATTATGATGATTATTTGGAAGCAGATGGGCCAGGCATCCCGATTAATGCTGATGTTTTGGAGTGCAAACACGTAGTTGAAGAAGAAGCTTGTAGCAGAAAAGACAAGTCTGATGGAACACCTTTTATAAAACACCTCACTAAATGCCTGAGTGAATTGTGGCCAATGTAAGTACTCTATGTGCGCGGTTCTTTCTCATGTACATTTTAAAATAGAAAAGTTGTATTCGTACAATGTAGAAACACCAATGTGCAATTTAGCTATGTGCACTGTCTTATAAGGCAAGTGTCATTGTTTAAATGATATGGGCTAATTGACATGATTATCAGCTGGACACAATGCGAATGATGTTACAAACATTGTGTACTGTACTGATGGAATATTTTTGTTGTCGCAGTGCATGATATATTCTTAGCATTTTGCTGTCTAATGTGCATTGTGTGCCTCTTGTAGGGGTCATGATCTGTTGGAGGTGCTGACAGAGGTGAACAGGAGAGTGAGCGTTTGCAACCAAGGGCTGCAACAACGACCCCCAAAGCTATCAAACACGATGAGGAAGAGGCTCATTCTACCACAGACACAAGGGTCTTTAAAACAGATCTCATGAGCTAGAGTCTTTGATTCTAGATACTGTGCTTGTAACAATCACACACAACCTAAGTGTTACTGGATGGCCATGCTGGTAATTTTGAAGCTTGCAATGTTGTGTTATATTGCAAATTGTTACTTTATTTTGATAGACCGTATGTTCTATTTTCCAACTATCACTTTCTCACTTCACAGTAATGAACCTTATATTTGCATGCCATTCTATTTGGCATGAAGATGAAGTATATCCTTAAATGTTGTATTTATTTATTACTGAGATGTATTGGAATTTCTGATATTTAGAACAAAAGGAGAGCCGAGTATATTAAAACCATGTAAATAAACTAAAAATGTCTACATGTTGCAAGCAGTTCCTTACCAAAGTTTTATCAGCAGGTGTGCATGCTACATTTTAAAATCCATAGGCTGCATAAAAAATGGTGCGTGCTGTGGACTACATGACTTTATACTTGCTGTGTACAGACGTTGTGGTATCACATGAGCTGATGTCCATATACTGTACATGTGACCATAACTGTAACTCTTGTCTGAAATCCTCTTTCATCTGACGAATCTGTATTTCTGTGTTTTGGCAAGGCATTATCTTAGTGGGACAAGTGCTTTTATGGGCCACTGATTGAAGAAACTACATTATTACAGTCTAACCTGATATGGCAGGTGTCTGTGGGTGATCATTGTGTTTCATTGTGGACTTGCCTTGTTAAAGGTTTCCTGCAGTATTTTGCGTTGATGTATTTTGATCATTTTTAACTTTTGCATAACTCTTCAAAAGTCAAATGTTGCCTGACAGGTCTAATGATGTAGATGCTCACCCCGCGCCCTCATTACTTTGATAGTACATTGTCTTTGAGCTGTACGCCTTTTGGCGTCATCTGGTTGAGCACCAATTGGGTCGAGGCTCAAAAGAAAGCCGTCCCTTGGTGTGGATCAATCAGTTTCAAGGACGATGCATATATTATCATATGGTTTTTGTTTGCAGGTTTTGTGGTTAATGCAGACATGAATCCTTGTAAAAGGTTTCAGTTTTGTTGCTAAAAAAAGGGGAAAACCCCTATTATGTTGCCTGGCATGTTGGTGTATTATTTCATAAACACCTGCTGTTCTTGATTTGCGTAATATTTGCTGTACTATGTGAATTTAGTCTTCAAAATAATGAACTAAACTTATTTGTAATTTATTAAAATGTAACCCTTATCTTGTTTCCCAACATCACTGGTCAATTTAGTAAATGTATTATTAGAATGTATTTCAGTAAAACAGCTATGAAATATCTTCACTTGCACATTTTTAGCTGTGACATGAACATAATTGATTGCTCGACAATCTAAAGATTTACAGATTAAATACGCGGTGATGTGTTCCTGAAAAGTGCCGCATTAAGCAAAAACTTTCCCCATAAATAACGTAACGATAACGTTTGGCGATATACGAGACACGTGTACAGATGGCGGGATAACGGGGTACATCGGTACTTCACTGTATCGTTCCACATACTGTATCATTCTGATCAGCTGCGCAGTTCAAGAAAGTAGTTCGTCGTAGACCACTCAGAAACCACCTTATAACGTGCGCGTTCTGCGTTATAACGGGAGCATTATGCGAAAAATGTACCCAACTGGAAGAATCTCAGTGACAGCACGTTGAGAATACTTGTTAAACTCGGACGCGCCATTTGGTGTATTTAAAAAAAAATTAATCCCATTTTTAAGAATACAATTTAAGTGTGTATACAGGGTGCTTCAAAACATGTCAACACATATGGGACTCGTTTTTAATGGAAAAAAACGGATAGTACACTGTAACATGATCACAAATGTATGTGATTAGCTTCAAAAAGTCAAGAGTCTCCACTTGTTCGCCATCATTGTCAACACGTGCCTGAAATCTTCTCCAGGTGGTCTCCAGATCCCGGAGGCAGCACATTTATTGTGGTATTGTTGCAAATTCTCGGAAGTGTTAACTTTTTTTGAAGTACGATGGAACAGAAATATTTGAGCCTAAGATTCACCAAGTACATGACACCAATACAATTTGTGCTGGGGCATTGTCATCCAGAAGCAAGGGTGCGGCTTTCATTTTTGTGAATTTTTTTAAAATCTGGATTTCATGACTGCAAAGACACTGGCCTGAATTCCACATACCTTTTTCATTCCCACGTGATCGTTCAGACTTGTTTCAACTGATTCCACGCTCATGTCGAAGGTGTCTAACTTTGAAAAAGCAGTCTTCGAAACCATCTTGCTTAATCTTGAAGTTTGCCTCATTCACTGTAACAGGCCACCCTGATCTGAGATCATCTTCAAGAGTCTGACGAGATGAACTTCTGATGCCCACTTTTTTTTGCAAATTATACATTGTCAAAATGCACTTTCAACGTACATTCATAATGTATTCCGTTTATTCTCTTTCAACATTTGATCATTGTATGATGCCTGATTTTCTGATATTCACCAAATATCGTATACCTAAATGAGTAATGTAAATAAGGAACAAAGCAATATATAATATCGTGCCCTGGCTGTTTGAATACTTTACATTGAGTTTAACACGTAGGCTTTACATTGACTATAAGCTGCAACGTCAACGGTCTTTGGTAAGATTCCGATCTCTTTATACCACCATGCTATAATTCCGGCAATATGTAAATTAGCTTCAAAGTGTTGCGGTAATGCACGCGTCTGCTGTAAAGTGCAATGGGTCCGTGTGAAAAGATGATTTTCATTTGTCTTTGCAGTGACCATCCATTTGCATCGTAAGGAAATCGTTGACCTCCCACAGTGGTAATAATTTAGAATTTGTAAATGGGCAAAATGCTAAAACAAGCGTTTCAATCGGTGCATATTTGCAGCTATACCGATCAAAAACATGGATACTGACGAAAATAAAACTAAAACGTTGGAACGTGCATAAAACATGGAGAGAGGCGCACGCTTGCAAATGTACTCAAGAGAAAGGTGCACATCGATCAGAGGACACGTTTGGACAAGGCACATCGCTTCAAAGGATGATGGCTGATTGCCGAGATTTGACCATGGAGTGGCAGCCAAAGGAGATAATGTCTAAGAGGATGACTTCCACAGATGGAGCAATGAGATCTACTTTTGTGTGGGAGATTGATGGAATTTTGTATTACGAGACCTTTAGGAATGGCGACCATTTAGGGCGGCCTTCATTCAGCAGTGGGTAGATCAAGGATGATGACCAAAATAATACGGTATGTAAGAATTATAATTGAAATGTATGTGCATGAACGTTTAATTCAGCTTGGAGTATTTTTACACATGGGAGGAAACACGTTTATGGAAATAACTTTAGCATACAAGTTTATATTGGTCAAAGCTCCGCATGTACAGACATGCGGACTCCTTGCTTTGTCACCACAAAAGGCATCTCTTATACTGGTAGGAACCTCCTGGTTTCACCAGCCCATAGGGGATTATTGTGTCCGTCCGTCGTGCATCCAAAAATGGGAGGGGCTGGGTGGGGAGAGTGGGGAGGGTCTGGGTGGGGAGGGTGAGGAGGGGCTGGGCACCCCGTGGTGCCCTTATAAAACTCAACGTTTAACCTACTCACGCTGGCTTGTGCCCGCCCTCACGGGCATATTTGCGGAATACACCATGCCGCCGTTGACCCTGGCCATTGACCGAGCAACCCAACGTTCCTACCAGCTCCCTCCGCAGGAATGTGTTTGTATTCGGTCGGTGTCTCACGCACGACTCAACTGAAAGCTTGCGCATCGAAGACTTCATATTCCTTCATGAGCGATCAAACCCACTGCCGAGGTTGCTATGTGAAAGTGCATTGCCACCACCCAAATGGAGCACGATCATTGAAGGTGATAATGGTGAGTTATAAATACCCTTATATCGTCCAGCGCAACAGCACTTGGGAATACAGTAATTGCCGTTTTACTGATGCTGATGTCTTTATTGATCCCGTCCAGTTTTGATAACTTTAAATGTTGATGTTTCATCTCCTTTCCGGACTGATGTGTATTTTGTCGCTGCAGTATCCTTGCTATCTTAAGTGGCCGCTTTTAAAGTTGTATTTTTATGCATACCGTACTTAATTTAGTTTCGTATTCATCATATGCCTTGCCATAAGTTCTACAAGCCAGAATATGGAATTGTTTTTATTTGGAAACATTGTATTTGTGTTCAATGGTGGAGAACATTTCTTAAATCCAAATTGTTTACATCGTCGGTTGCCCCCTGAAGTTTCCATTTTCCTGTGGTCTTTATTTTATGGGACGCTAATGAGGAATGAAGTACAGTACTTCAGATCAGTATTTTTTCTCTTAACAAAACAATGGGGCATCATTCCATGAAGTATTTAATAGCTGTGCAAACATAGTTTACAATTTTTTCGTTAATACTTAGCCATCTCACATTTAATTATACAAAAACAGTAATACTATTGCAGGAAATTCGCGACCAATTTCCCAAATAAGGCTAGATTCGAATCAAGATAAATGTGAACAAGACAAGTGAAATACAAGCTTACTAAATAAAGAACTTGCTAAACTAGATTCGAAGCTTTCGTGACCGCAGGAATTATTCTTTGGTTCTTTCGGTAAAGTCACGTAGAAAGAAATTAAAGAAAACAAATTATTCACAAATACATTATTTATCTTCTTCCTACGTGACTTTACCGAAGGAATAAAGAACATACTGTGCTTGCTGGAGGAACGGGGAACGGCAGAATATTCCTGAAAGTAGATGGGAATCAGAATGTTGAAGTAGAGGCGAGCGACCAGCATGGAGGAATCCTAAACACGATCTAGTCTGACTTTGCTAATTTTCTACAATCCACAGTTCTTCGATACGCTGGATTTGAAGGTATTTAGTTTTACTCTCGAAATTAAGATCGTGTGCGTGTCTTCGAATAACTTCCGACCGGCCACCAATGTGTGGCGCTGTTGTATAGCATCATGTTTGTTCACTGGAGAGTCGTGTAAAATGGTCAATTAGAAATCGAGGTAAGTGTATAAAAAGGTATGTATGTTGGAACTTCTTTCGCACCGTAAGTAGAGATTTTTATTCCCTCGTATTACAACCTGACATGAAGCGCTTCCACTAGATACGTTAAATTAGTAGATAATGCGTGGATGATGGAGATTCTGGTGAACTCCAAAGGGGCCGTCCATAAATGACGTCACGCACCTGGGGGGGGGGGGGGGGTCAGACATTTGCGACGATGTGTTACGTCACATCAAAATGCACAACTTTAAATAAATATAGACACGTTCTACTTAATTGAATAGACTTTTTAATATTTTTTTCTTCAACAAAGTGCAGCGCCACATTAAATACGCACTACAATGACTAGTTTAAAGCGATTTTAAGCATGTTTTATATTTTGGGGGGGGGGGGGGGGGGGCAGGCAGAGCTTTGTGACGTCATATTTGAGGGGGGGTCTGTGACGAGGGGGGGGGTCAAAAATGGTCCAAAATCGCGTGACGTCATTTATGGACGGCCCCAAAGGAGGGCCAAGCGTGTTCATGGTGGCCAAAACCTGCCCGACAAAGACGTCCTTAAAATTCACGCAGGTAAAAAAAATATAATAATACATAAAAATCAAATCACGACTTTTCGGAGGCAACACAAGCTTCCTTCATCAGGTGTAAAAAAGTTATTTTGCTGTGACCTTTTTTACACCTGATGAAGGAAGCTTGTGTTGCCTCCGAAACGTCGTGATTTGATTTTTACGTATTTATATATATTTTTTACCAACGTGACTTTACCTAAAGAACCAAAGAGTGCGTCCTTAAAAGACACCTCAAGACAGCCAATGTCAATGTGGAGACACGTCAGGGAACGCCAGTCTACCGTAAGCGGCGGAGATCCTGCTGGAGCCCAGGGGTCCCCAACACCCGGGTCACGGACCGGTCCGTGGCCTGTTAGGAACCAGCAGCAGGAGGTGAGAGCGGTGAGCCCGCACGTGGCCCGCCCCATTATTTTATTATTTACCACTTCCGTCCGCGCCTCTTTCCCGCACTGCGCACTCATCACAGTTTTGGTAAGCCCACAAGCTAACCCAGACATGGGCAAAGTACGGCCCCCGCGCCGTATACGGCCCGTTGGGATTTTTAATCCGGCCCGCTGAACTTGTCCAAATATTATTATTAAATTAAATTTTACCTTTCTCCTGTAATGCCCCCATTTTCCCATTAGATGGCGCACTTTGACCGGGAGTGTGGTG